CCATATTTTTATTTAAAATATATTCTTTTCTCTCGCTTTGTCCGTCATTACTAGCATAAAAAAATCTCCGGCCGGCCCGCAATGCTTAATTGGATATGGTGGGCCGGGAAGGATCCATCCGACTAGTCCTTTAATTCGGGCCAAAGGACAGACACATTTGTCGGCCGCATTGGAGGAGTCTTTGGTTTTGGACAGCCTTCGTAGCGGCGCTGTGATGTATGCGGCCGACGAATTCAGCCTTCGGAGGACCCGGCCCACCGTTTTGGACACAGCCAAACTCTGTCTACACAGCCAAAAAACTCCCCTACTACAGAGACCCCCACTTGAAGAAAGAGACAAACATCTTTGCAATTGATAGACAGTTTTTTTGTTTTTGTTTTTCAGAGTTAACTCTTCACAAAAATGACAAAATGCTACATGTAGTGTTCTTTGGCACGAGTATACTATAAACCTGAAAACATGAKAACCTAGCACTTGTTTGGCTAGATATTAGCCTAGCCTGGATAAAGATCTTGGCTTCTTTCTCCTTACTACTATGTGCTCTGTGGCTGATGTTGTAGCTGATAACCATCATTAACTCATTAACAGGGCATTGAGAATAACTAGAGTATCCCTTTAATAGGCTGTGTAGGTCAGGGAGAGTGTAGCATGGTCATTACCTTGTGTGAAGGAGGCCTAAGGATGGGTATTTACTGTTTTCAGGCGCTGGAAATAACTGAAGAGTTTCTAATGCACACATGCAGTTTAATGTCATTTGTGGTCTTTACCTCAGGGTCATTTCTTTCTCTCGTCGTGCAATTGGTCAGGGGAATCAGGAAGTGGCCATCATTGTTGCTGTTCCTGACCAGAGTTGGGCTGGATTCGTGTTTCAGAAGATCTGGCAGAAAAGGRGGAGTTATACTCGACTGCTGCTTGACGTTTGGTTGAGACACCTGTGCGGAGACCAAACAAATATTGTCAATATGTGGGAGTTTAACAGAATATTGAAGTTCAGCTGTTCAAATCAAATGTTGTAATTTGATGAATTTACTTGTTGCTGATCCAGATGTGTCACCGCTGTTTGTACCCGCTGCAGTTGTTTACTCTGTTTTTGCTTTTGCTGCTTCAGTTGAACCCATTTCTTTGGTTGCTGCTCTTGATTTGTGAGTTTTTGGGTTTTCTTTTGTCCCTGCTGACAAAGTCCCTGTTGAAATTCYGGCGTCTGACTGTGGACCTTGTGCTGCCGCTGTAGTAAAAGGTTTTGTACGGTCTGTTGCTGCACCAGCTGCAGAGCAGACCGCTGGAGACGAACGTGTTCTCGTTTATTCTGCAAACTCTTCATCTCGGGCTTGAGTTGCAGACAAATCTTACTCTGCTCCGCTTGGGTCAGAGATCGCTGTAATCCAACTGAGGTTTGCACAAATGCGCCCGCATCTGCATCAACGGCTTCCTGTTTTATGGTTACTTTATCTATTACAGCTGACAATATCTGAAGGGAAAGAGGCGAAGAGCTGGCTGAAAGAGCCACGTTTGAGTTCTCAGGTGGCTCTGCTTTCACTCTTGGAGGAATTTGTGGCTCTGGAGCTTGTGCTTCTCTGTTCTTTTTTTCCACCAGTACCTTGAGCTCCTCCACCAGCCTCTGCTTCTGCCACAGCATCCTGGTAAGCTCTGCAATCTGCTTATCTTTCTCCTGCAGCATTCTGTCTTTGTCAACAGAAGAAGCTGCAGCTGAAGCGGTGGGGGCAGCAGGAGAGACCAAGTGGTGTTTGTGCAGAGAGGCAGACTTTAAAGGGAACTGACAAGGTGGTGGGGTGGAGCACGAGGGCTCCTCTTTAATGTTCGCAGGAAGCCGAGGCACTGAAGATGGAGGCAGGCTCAGCTCAGTGAGAGGAACATTCATCTGTTGAAAACAAAACAGATGCTGTCAGGGTTAATAAAGGCCTTATTTAAACACATAGGTAAAAAAAAATACAATTTTGTTCAAAACAAACATTTGAATCATAAGCTTAGAATATAAGCTATTATACACTGAAAATATCTCTTCATTTATATACTGGTTTATCAAAGAATGTGGTTTGCCTTACTTGTGTTCATTACTTTTTAATTATCCCTAATAACACAGGTGTATAGTAACAAAGTGCATTTACTTTATTATAGTAGGTTCATAATTTTTTTTGAGGATTTGTAATTTTACCAACCTTTTTTTATTGTTACCTTTTGTAATTAGGTTATATTCAAAACATAAAAATACTTTTACTTTTTTTGCTTTAAAGTTAAACACCTAGTTACACATTACAAATTTAAAAGAGTTGTTTCTGCACTAAAAAAAACTAAGTGTTGAAATTACTTAACCAAGTTATGTCAACACACCCGGTTGAGTAAACATAAATAAATGATTCAACTCGGATTAGTGGAACCAGCTTGGTTAAGTGAATTCAACATTTGATTTCTTAGATTGTGTGTAAAAGTACGTTCAAAACGTTTGAAAACAAAAGTGTGATAGCCTAATAATGCCATTGCTGTGAACAAACTGTCTTGTTTTGCATAAAATGCAGAACTATTCACATAAACGGGATGACTGAGGCTACAATAGGTAGAGGTTTGTTCTGTAACCAGTGGATTGCCAGGTCGAATCCTCGCTCTGTCCATCTCAGTCGTTGTGTCACTGAGCAAGACACTTCACCTGCCTTGCCTGCTGGAGGTGGTCAGAGGGCCTGGCAGAGTTGGTGCAGAGCAGTGTCGCCTCTGTCAGTCTGTGTGCCACCACCAATATATGAATGGATGAATGAATGTAGTGTGAAGCGCTTTGGAGTGCTCTGATTTGACGAAGAACTTTACAACTTTAGGCCATTTACCACTTAAAGGGATCCACGATTATTTGTAACATTAAACTTTATTTGATAAACTTTTATTTTAACTGTAAAATAAAGACTGTAAAAATACTGTAGGCTGTTTAGTTTTTAAAAAATTTTTAAAACATGTTTTAACACGGACGGAGCCATTTTATTTACACACAAGGCATTCTGGGTAAATGATGACATCATCTAGGTCTTCGGTGCGAGGCTGCTAGCGAGCTACAATACATCCACCCTGAAGGTTAATCTTGGACAATATCTGACGATCGACTCTTTTAAATGAAACCAGAGAGCGTTGACAGAGAGGAGAAGGTAGAAATGACTCAGCCTGTAACTGAAAATATGGATGGAGGACAACAGAGCTGCTTCATGGAAGAAGAACCTCAGCTTAGCTTGTTAGCCTTTGCGCTAGTGCCCACACTATATTGCCTTACATGTATTAGCTCAGTGCTAGCGCGACAAACTAACAGGCTAAACTGAGGTCCTCCATCCATATTTTCAGTTGCAGGCTGTCATTTTTGTGTTTCCCTCTCTGTCATGTGGATGGAGGACCTCAGTGACGAGAGGAGAATGTGTAGCGCTGAGCAAATACATATATACGGTGATAGCATCAGGGCTAATGCTAAACCTAACAAGCTAAGCTGAGGTTCTTCTTCCATGAAGCAGCTCTGTTGTCCTCCATCCATATTTTCAGTTACAGGCTGAGTCATTTCTACCTTCTCCTCTCTGTCAACGCTCTCTGGTTTCATTTAAAAGAGTCGATCATCAGATATTGTCCAAGATTAACCTTCAGGGTGGATATAGCTCRCTAGCAGCCTCGCACMGAGGACCTATCCACGTCATCATTTACCCAGAATGCTTGGCATGTAAATAAAATGGCGCCATCCATGTAATATATTTTTAAACTTTTAGTATAAAAATTATAAAAACTTAACATCCTACAGTATTTTTACATTCTTTATTTTACAGTAAAAGTATATGTTTATCATATAAAGTCTAATGTTACAACTAATCGGGATCCCTTTAACATAAAGACATAACTGTAAATTTTAAAGGGGGGGGGGTCTAATTAAACAAATACCTCACAACCTTCCTGCAGTACATCTACAGAACCACTAGGAAGTCACTACCTCAATGCTGAAGACCTCTGGTCTATTAGCAAAATATCTTAAAAATCACTGGATGGATTTTAATGAAGCTTTCATTAATCAAGGTGGCCATGTCAGTGACTAAAAGTCATCCCCCATCATACTCTGAGAGCTAATAGATCACAGGATCTTTGTTTCAAACKTTGCCATCCAAAGCAGAATATTAAATTTTTTTATCAGCTGTCAAATTCAAATCAACTGAATCTACAGAAGTTTTAGCCTGCACCTATTTGTGTTATGGCAGGAATTTCAACATAAACTGGTGATGTTTCTTTTTATGTTTAATGTTATAATATAGTGATTTGATTTGAAACTGAAAGATGAACACTTTGATGCTATTTTAACATACAAAAGTTGATTATTGTGTTACCTGTTCTCCAGATGGACAGGAGCTTGAGCTCCTTGGACTCATGGCATCCAGTGATTTGCATTGTGGGATGTGGAGTGTTATGTTGCCACCGTGTCTCAAAATCTGCTGMGAAGTTGCACTGAAACTTCCTGCATCAGTTAAACACAAGTTTATTTAAAGGTGTGCCTTAAAGAGGCAGAACGTTTTAATTCCAATTTATTATTTCACTTTTGAATTTATCGACTAAAAGCCAATAAATGAGACTTTATATTTCAGACATTTACAAGTGACACATTTCAATTGAAAAACAGACAGAACTAACATATAATTCTGATCAAGCCATTAAAGCAAAAAGAAAGAATTTTGGGTCATTTTAATCTGCTCACATACCATTCAGAGGAGATGTGTGATGGCGTTGAAAGGGCTGCTCTTGTGATGCCTTGTTGCTGTAGTTGTTGGTGTTTTTAGAGGATTTTCCTGCTCGTTCAGGCTCCGGCTCTGTAGTGCTCCCTGCTGTTGGAGAGGAGGTGGTGTCGCTGCCTGGGTTCAGCTCCTGGTGAGCCCTCAGCCTCTCTATCAGGTCCTTTCTGGTGCCAGAGACTGGCAAGCTGCGCATCTTCAGTTCTGACTTTAGTTCCGCCACCTAAGAGGAAAAGAATGTAAAAATAAATAAATAAATAAATAAATAAATAAATAAATAAATAAATAAATAAATAAATAAATAAAAAAGATTAGGGTAAAAGCAAAAGGAAAATTGCAAAATGGATTAAGGAASAAAAAAGAGGAGTGAATAATTTGTCTTCCCTTTCAGCAGTCACTTTAAGTCAGCAAGACACAAAAATATATATTTTTCAAGCTCTATCTACTTTAATATAGTTCAAATTCAATAAGGAAGCTTTGATTTTCCTCATTCTGTCTCTTGTACTTTTATAGTGAATAAAGTGATACCTGCAAAACTCTTCTCTTCATTGCTTTGTTTTCCCTGCATACTAAACACTTTCTCATCCAATATTTTTCTACGTGATTTTTCAGACTTTACGTATTTTCAAATCACTAATCATGAATCAGTTTTATTAATCTTACATTCTTTTTGTGTTTTCCTCCTTACAGACTCAAAAATCAAAAATCTACCATTTCTTGCAGGAAGGCACATCTCCCATCACCTTCTACACCAGAATTTTAAAATAAGGTCATCTCATGTATAGAAAAACAATGTAGTTTGGGTCAAACCTTGAAATTAYCATTAAATTTCAGGCCATTTTGTGAGACCTCGTGCTTTGCTAGAGCTCGGAGTATGTCTTAAGAACTACTCTCAACAACTACCACATCAAACTTTWGCTGAATATCTGTCAAACTGACTGAGTYACAGACCATTTTTTAGCCTGTAAGATTGATTATCTGTGGCAGCCATCTTGAACAAGATTGACTCCAAGCAAATACGATACCCACATCAATTGAATTATTGTGTAGTTTGAAAAAAAACATGAACTTCTTCAACCTTCATTCCATCCAGATTTGGCTGCAGCGGCAGTGTTTCCCGTACAGCAGGAGAGCTCAGATGGATGTAGTTGTGCCGGTTGGAGAGGGCAGCTGAAGAAACAGCAGCCGGTAGAGGCAGTGGAGAAGTGGGCGTGGAAGGAGAGGATGGTTCCTGGTCTCTGCCGGAGAGATAGAAAGGTAGGCAAATATTAGGGATGTCCCGATCAGATCCTCAGTATCAGTGGCAGATATGGCCATTTTTTGAAAATCGGGTAGAATCAGATTTAGTCATGTGATCGGGCCGATCCAATTTTCACGACAGTTTTCAGCATCATCATGCTTTACAACTGCTGTTAAGAAGTCAAAACACACACAAGTATACAACCATGTCCACAGTGTGGGAACACTTTTCATTGGAAAACAATGATGCTGAAACTGCATCTTACAAAATCTGCAAACTGGATGTTTCTTGTGGTGGGAACAGCAGGGCTCGTTTTAATACTAGCAACCTTGTCACTTGGAAAGAAATAAAGAAATAAAGTTATTGGATTGGTATTGGAAAGACTAATCATTAAAAAAAATCGGATTGTATCGGGAGCCAAAAAGTCTGGATCGGGACATCCCTAGCAAAAATATACCTTCAAGGTAACCAGACGYTCCAAACATCTTGTGCATTCCACGTTTCAAACTAAAACTATAGCAACTAATATTGGGAAGTGGCTGATTTTCATTGTGCGTAAAACTGATCCACGAACTTGTGTGGTGCAAGCTGGATGGTTTGGATGTTGTTTTGTTGCTGCAGACTAAGTATCTGGAGCTGTAGGAAGAGCTGCTGCTGCTGGAGGATCTTGGATACGGATGAATCCATGTTGGGCGGAGGCTCTTTATCTCCCTTCTGGTCTGGATGGATGTATTGATGGTACTTTAGCTTCTTTAACTAAAAGGAGACACATTTACAGCTTTTTTCAGCAAAAGCATTTACACATTGCCAAAAGACAAGAAATGGAAATACCTACCTTTGGTTTGTTGTCTTTGGTTTTCTTGTGTTTCTGGGTGAGCCGGCTGGAGTTTAATTTAGGCTGGGACAAAACAAGAGAGACAGTGTTGTTTAGGTGTTTTTATTTTCAGTCTCCACAGCTATTTATGAGGCAGATAAAAGTAAAATGAAAGTACAAATAGTCAGTTTTTTTTTTTCATACTTGTGGCCCAGAATTGTGAAACAGTTTTGGACCTGTGCAGTTACTGTACCTTGATTTGAGAGTCAACGCTTGTCCTCTGCACAGGTTTGCTCAAGTTTAATGGAGAGCAGGAACTTGGCTGAAAAGGAAGGGCTGATGGAATGACCTGATTTGGAAGAGGAAAGGTTTGAGTTACTTCTGATGGTCACCAATGCAACATAATGAAAGCAACTGTTCCAAACAGGTTTRTCAGACTTTAGGCAGGGAATGCTGAGTTATGGATCCTACCTGGGTAGGAGATGGGGTGTGGCTTCCAGACATTTTTTCACTCAAGTAACTTATAGATCTCAGGTCAAGAGGACAGTTCTGGCTTACTGGCTGCTCTGGAGACAGACTGTCGTCACTGTCTTCACTGCATGACGAGATCATTCTTGAGGCCTTCTGAAGTTGTGTTCCTATAGAGAAGGGATTCATTTTGGTTGAACTTTCTTGTAGACATCATAAAAAATAATAGCTACACATTCAGATATTAGCATTTCACAGGTTCTCCTTTTTCACATCAACTCCTGCAGCCTGTGCTRATGGCTAATGTGCTAGCAAACACTTTCCTAAATTCAGTCAACTCAGGGTTTCTACACATTTCCCACACTGAAATTTTCAAAATTTTCACTCAGAAATCTCTGAAAATTAAACATAATATCTACTTTGTACAGTTTTATTATCAAACCAAAGCGTCATGGCACAAACATCCAGTTCTGGTWTACATAGTTTATAGTTTAAATACAATGGATAAGACAGAAAACTATTTCTGATTTAATTAATAATAAAATTACCAAATGTGGAAAAAAATATCCTAATTTGCTCTATTTAACCTGCTCCTTTCAATCCACTTCACTATTGAGGATAATTTGCTTTGCTGTCTCTGCTTCTGGGAGGGTTACTTGTCTCTAAAACAAAAGTGTGATAAGTGCAGAACTTTTTCCAAATCAAGGTTTATGCTATGTTGACTTCAGAATACAAAAGTAAGAGGTATGGAATCACTAATATTTAATTCAAATCTGGAAAAAAATACTGCACATTAATGCTGAACACTGAGTGTATTTTTAAGTTCAAAATATGACATTTGCAGCATGAAGTGTGACCTGTGATAAGTTCCTTCCTCTAAAAACAAAGAAGTTTACCAGACAACCATCTAACATCACTGAAAACAACAGAAAGGATATGGTGTRCGAGTTAAACACGGTACAAAATGTCCACATTAGCAGGCAGTGGAAAGGTTGAGCCATCCCACAGCACAGCAATATATCCAAGCCTTCATGCCCCAGCTAATTTTCCCCTCAGGCTTATCATRTAATCATCTTATTATTATGCAGACTTATGAGTCTTCACCGGGATTTAGGGAATAATAGTGCCTGCTAGGATCCCCTGGACTCGCTGTRGAGATTTTATTTTATTTTTTAATATATTGGTGTTATTTAATTACAGGAGCTGCTATGTAGAGCTCACTGCTGGCCATTAATTTGCCAGCAGGCGAGGATATAAACACAACATGGGGCTGATTTAATATCCTCTGATCCAATAATGTGATGAGTTACCTCCTGTTTGCGCTCTGTGTGTTGCACGTCCTCCTCAAAAGTGGCTACAATACCACTGTGGTTATTTTTTTTTTTTTTGCAATGTCAAAGATGACTATGCTCCCAGAATAGTATGATGTTGAATTTTTGCACTTTAACTACCCTACATCAGTCAAACAGCTGGACTCACTGTCTGGAGTGATTAGGTATTGTGTCTTTTTGTGTTTCCAATTTAGATGGTACTGATCCCTGTTCATTTTGTCATGTTGACATTGAAAATTCAGAGGTTGGGGCTAATTACCTGTGAGACTTGTACTAATTTGCTCATTAATTTAGATTGTCAGCTCTACAACTAGTGTGCGATTCTCCTAATAAAGGATGTTGTCTGTTATTCATGGACTCTTCATGGAGTTCTTTAAAAGCTCCAAGCTGTTGGTTGCCATGTAATGGATGGGTTTAATACATGTTGTCCACAAAGCAGACAGGTGTGGGCCAGATCTGGTGTCAAGCTGGCACGGGCTGATGGCAAGTTTGTCAGTGTGGGTCAGTATCTGGAAGTGATGATACTCTTTTTAACATGGCATGCCATAAATGGCCTGGTTGTGGTTTAATTTATGGCCCAAATCTGTCAATGCCACAAMTGGCCCAGTTATGATTTGGTTTATGTGATGCAGGCTCATCCATGAAACACCATCGACTCTTTGCAGTATCTGGGCCAAGTGAATTGTGTGGGCCTGAACTGGGCCAGACAGATATAGTTGCATTCAGTCAACATATACTGTAAATAAAATAAAATAAAATAAAATAAAATAAAATAAAANCCAGATCTGGTGTCAAGCTGGCACGGGCTGATGGCAAGTTTGTCAGTGTGGGTCAGTATCTGGAAGTGATGATACTCTTTTTAACATGGCATGCCATAAATGGCCTGGTTGTGGTTTAATTTATGGCCCAAATCTGTCAATGCCACAACTGGCCCAGTTATGATTTGGTTTATGTGATGCAGGCTCATCCATGAAACACCATCGACTCTTTGCAGTATCTGGGCCAAGTGAATTGTGTGGGCCTGAACTGGGCCAGACAGATATAGTTGCATTCAGTCAACATATACTGTAAATAAAATAAAATAAAATAAAATAAAATAAAATAAAATAAAATAAAAAACAGGACAAAAAGTCAAAATAATTTTCCAACAAATCAACTCATAAACAGGTCTACTAATCAAGTGCAAAAAGTAAAAATAAAATAAAATGTCATAAAAAATGACTATGGTATTCATACAGTAAATACAAGTTATAAAATACAWTTTTTGTTTTACAGACTTTTGTCAATAGCAAGTTGTGACTTACCAGTAAGGACCTGTTTAATCCTGGAGGGAGCAGGTAAAATGTTTTTGTGGATCAGCTCCATGGGACCCGGCCTGTTAGCGAGCTTCTCATTTAAATCATGACCAAGGCGAGCTTTCTTCAACTGTAACTGCTTMTGTTGAAGCAATGGTTCTTCTGGCRTCTCTATATWWAAAAAAAAACATTGATTCTTTATGTTTATTTGTTAGTTTGGTCCAAACGTATAAATAGGTAGAGGTGATGATCTGTTGCTCACCATCTGAGATGTGCAGCTTGATCAGCTTTGATTTCTCTGGTTCACTTTGGATTTTCCTTTTCAGACCATCGTCAGTCTGAAGAGAGAAAACAGTGAAATGTCACAATTTGCCAGTGCCAAAAGGCAAACAGCGGGCAGAAATGGGTGTTCACTTGTCTGTCATGTTAGCAAAATTATCTTGTGAATTTTTCTATTGAAACATTAGGCCATTAAGCATCGGATGTACAGCTATAACTCAATAACCACCACAAAAAATTGACCTTAGCCAACAYAGAGATGGCTATAACTGAGTCAGTTACTCACATGCTGATTTAAACTTCAGTGTGGTTCATGTCATGGTAGATGGTAAAATAGTAAATGGCCTGAAATTGTATAGCTCTTTGTCCCTACTGACTCCAGGGCACTTTACACTACAGTCAATCATACACTGATGGTGGTAAGCTACATYGTAGCCACGGCTGCCCTGGCACAGGCTGACAGAGGACACTGGACACTGAGAAGGARGGAACGGGGACTCTGTGACCCTCCTGTTAGAGGGTTGCTGGTTTARCCACTGCACCAGCTGCCCAGAGAGTCTTTCCCAACACATCCTCTAGGACTAACAGATTACATAAGATCACACCACATTGTGTGAAAGTGTGCATAACACTTATAAGGTTTTGACCTAAATGACTACATTTCCCATTATTTCTCAACAKAAGATGATCTTAGTCCAAAACTCAGGCTAGGCCTTTAATTTAACATAATGGTTTTGACGAGTTTAAGCAAATATATTTTCTTTTATCTGTTTGAACTTTACACAAACTTAACATTAGTTCAGCATGGCACACTCCTAACGTGTGTTTCATGTATTTGAAACAAAAAATAARTACCTTTTTAGGTATTTCTTTTTCAGAGACTTTCCACTTTCCATCTCATAAATACAGATGAAGTTGTTGTGGGGAGATCACTGATTTAGTAGATACGTTTGCATTGCACCTCACAGCCCAATAACAGCTTTTACATTCTGAGCAGACAGGGACTTTTCAGCTTTTGCTCATCTTGTCCAGAATTTCTATATCATGTGGGACATACCATAAGTCATCTGTCACTTTAATACATCTGTGCACTTTATTTATTCATCTAYGACACCTTAATCYAACATGTGCAAAATCACTATCATCACCTATTCTTATATCATCTAACAATATCTGATGGGAACTTTGCACCAGCCATACTGTTTTTATCTTTAGATTATATCACTGTTTTTATTTTCTATTTACACTGTATAGATGCCCAAGTATGATTATTGTTTTATGTGTTTGTTTGTTTTCTTCAGAGTGTTTATGCTTATTTCATTAATATTTTTAATTTATATTTTTATCTCTAATTCTCACTTGAATGGTTGCAGCTGTAATAATTGCAGTTTCCCCCTGGGGATCAATAAAGTATTTTGATTCTGATTATATTACAGGAGCTGCTGTAAATGATGCAGCAAGCTGCACAGCCTTTTGAAGACAGACAGCGTTTTGAGGGCGACACACTCACTCGAGCTCGTTCCAAGCTGCGTCTCTGCTCGTTGAAGGCGGCTGGACTTTTAAGTGCTGAAAGAATAAAAAAGAAACCGAAGTTAGAAAAAAAAAAGAATCACAGAGGGCGTTAGCATTGCAGCATCTTGTCATGCTACTGAGAAGAGAAAAACAACTTCATGATGTAGATGATCACAGATGTAGACATTTATACCCTGCTGTCAATTTACAATAAAACATCAAGTTTCTCATAAGAACCACAATATTCTGTCTTTATGGTAGGATACTGTAAATGCAATGCATTGTGGGTTATTGGTTGAATGTTGTTTCCCTGTATTCGTGGTAATATCCTGTGATTCAGTGAAATGGTTCACTGTTCTCTATTACAGTTTTTCAGTATATCATCACAAATTTACCAGTTGAGGTGTAGAAAATACCAAGTCTTCCAGTTGAAGTGGAACTGCTGTTGTTCAATGAAAAAGGACTCTGGAAAAACAGGCTGATTGAACAGCAAGAACCTTTATTTTTGCAGTTCAGGAGATTACAGCCAAAAACCAAATTGTGGCCTCCAAGCCAAATGGTTCACCAAGTAAGAAAGATGGAGAACGAAGGCGAAGAGCGGGGGCGTACAAGGCTCTTTATAGGTTTTCCACAGATGTACATAAATCTTGTCACGGTATACCTTAAGCGTTCTTCTGTCCTAATGTGGTAATATGTGCCGAGCTCTAAAGCTGGAAACTCAGAGGCCTCACATCTGTGCATTCCCGAGACAAACCCCCCACTCTTTGGACACTACACAGTCAATGCATTTGATTAAAGGATGGATATTTTTGCCCTTTTCTTTGTATCGTCGAACCTTTGCCTCAAATGAGCGTAGTCAATGCCTGCTCTCACCGTACGACCTCGTGTACTTGTCCACCATGACAGAACTGAATGTGTAATATCCCAGAAAAGGCCGATCATCACTGAGTCAAAGTAAAACTCTAATAGGGTGGAGACGGATCACTTCAGTCCAAAAAGCAGAACGAAAGAGGTTGAATTTCTGAAACCGGTTCGGTGTTCACACAATGACCTCAGTCCAGCTTCCTGCATGTTAACCATCCTGCAAAAAATAAAGCTTCAAGCTCTAAAATGTGCCGGGACTTGAAAGTGCGCTGCTACAGCTTTTCATAGACAGAACCATTTTGGTAGAAAACAAGAGAATATCATTTAAATATTTTACAACAAGATTGTATTTTTGATAGACAAGTGACCACAAAAAAGGAAAAAAATGACATGGAAAAATAGTGAAAACTGGTCATAAAAAAACTTCAGTTTTGTGTGTTTTGTTTGTGAAGGACACCAGAGTATTTGCAGAAAACCAACAGATGCACAAGTAAACTTTACATAGAAAGCAAAGTCATTCAGCGCTCAGCGTTCACACTGTATTTCACAGTCAATTCACGTAACATCCAGGACTAGCCATAACTGCAGCAGTTACACAGTCAGGAAAGATACAAGTCATCAGTGTAATTTCTTGTCTCAGTGCAACGTCAAACACAGCTCAGCCAAGCTCAGATACCAGAAGCTGTTTCTGACCCAGTCTTTCTGCTCTGTTTACTCACACCTTCACAGAGATACGACTGGAGTAACTCTGAGAAAGACTCGCGGTACCTGTTCAAGCTTGAGTTCACGTCACTGAGCACTGTCCCCCCGATGCCCCTCCCCGTCTCTCCCACACCCTGGAGACATCGGCCCTCGCAGACCTCCCACCAGCCTTTGCAGCCCCCTGCGTGAACCAGCCTGTCAGACGACGACTTTGGGAATGAAAGCTGGGATCAAGGAGGGGCTGAAGGGATGGGTGGGCAGAAAGTTTTGGAAACACAGATGAAGGAAGAAGAAGAATAAAACATGGAGCGAGACAACTGAAAGAGATGTACAGCAGACCACAGGTAGGCTGAAGAGGACAAAACCGAGAGAGGTGGGACTAGGTCAGAGGAATAAAGACCCCCTTTTTTCGCATGAGTAGCTAACTAACATCATCACTACCCTTTAAACTTTGAGAACAGCCTCACTTCCTCTGGCAATGATGGTCTTTTAATGCCCACTCTGTTTAGTTTTCCCTTGTGTTTTAATTGAAAGCTTTTTCTGTACTTTCACTTTACTGCTCCAAAAGTCAGCTTTTAAACCAACTTATTTATTTGTAAAATAAACAGAAAAATATAAAGAAAAGGCACTGGAGGCCAAATGACTTTGAAGCTGTAAGACTAGCATCCACATGTATTCTTTACTTGGCATTGTCTACCATCTAAGGCAAATGGTTATGTTTTACCCAGTCTGTGTCTGTTAGCCAAATATCTTAAAGGAATCCCCGATTAGTTGTAACATTAAACTTTATTTGATAAACATTTCTTTTAACTGTAAAATAAAGACTGTAAAAATACTGTAGGCTGTTTAGTTTGTAATTTTTTTAAAATATATTTTAACACAGACAGAGCCAATTTATTTACACGCAAAGCATTCTGGGTAAATGATGACGTGGATAGGTCATTGGTGTGAGCGAGCTATATCCACCCTGAAGGTTAATCTTGGACAATATCTGATGATCGACTCTTAAATGAAACCAGAGAGCGTTGACAGAGAGGAGAAGGTAGAAATGACAGCCTGTAACTGAAAATATGGATGGAGGACAACAGAGCTGCTTCATGGAAGAAGAACATCATCTTAGCCTGTTAGCCTTTGCGCTAGCGCTGATGCTATATTGCCTTATTTGTATTAGCTCATCACTAGCACGACAAACTAACAGACTAAACTGAGGTCCTCCATCTATATTTTCAGTTGCAGGCTGAGTCATTTTTGCGTTCCCCTCTCTGTCATGTGGATGGAGGACCTCAGTGACGAGAAGAGAATGTGTAGCGCTGAGCTAATACATATATAGCGATAGCGTTGGGGCTAATGCTAAAGCTAACAGGCTAAGCTGATGTTCTTCTTCCATGAAGCAGCTCTGTTGTCTTCCATCTATATTTTCAGTTACAGGCTGAGTCATTTCTACCTTCTCCTCTATGTCAACTCTCTCTGGTTTCATTTAAAAGAGTTAATCATCAGATACTGTTCAAGATTAACCTTCAGGGTGGATATAGCTCACTAGCAACCTCGCACCAAGGACCCATCCACGTCATCATTTACCCAGAATGYTTTGCATRTAAATAAAATGGCCCCGTCCGTGTAATATATTTTTAAACTTTTAGCTGAAAAATTATAAAAACTAACCAGCCTACAGTATTTTTACAGTCTTTATTTTACAGTTAAAATGCATTTATCAAATAAAGTCTAATGTTACAACTAATCGGGGATCCCTTTAAACCACTGGGCAGATTATTTTGAAAGCTGAACAATAATCATTAGATGTTAATCTTTAATTGATTAACTTTTGGAATCAGTACATTTCTTGATGATTGTTGCAGCTGTTCAACATTAGCCAAAACAAAAACGTTTTTAACAATGTCAATGTTATCAATAYTGAGCTTATGTTTGAGGAGGTAGTAGCTGAGAATCATTCACAACACATACTCTGTGAAATCTTGCAATGTTGCATGAGATTCTTCATAATGTTTTTTTTCTAGGTCTGACCAAAACAACTCCAATTCCATCATACTTCAATATAAAATGAACTTACACCAAAACTCTGGCAGCAACAAATTATTTTACATTTCATCAAGTGATCTAAAATCACATTTTCTTGATAGTCTTCAGATGTCAGAACAGTTAAAGTGACAGGTGTATGTTAATTAACTGAGACTTAGGCAGGCTAATTTGGCACCACAAAGGGGAGCCACCTAAAAAATTGAACTCCTTGTGATTACATCTCAGTTTATGAAAGTTGTCACCGCCACTCTAGCTGTTTGATTTCAGTTTTAAAGACTTAATCCKAGGTCCTTGTGTCGTCCTGCACTCCTGGGTCCAAAACCTCTGCAAACCAAGACACWAAGTGTGAACTCTCGATTTATTTTAGCATGTATATAAACCTGTTTTTATATCGAGTATAAAAATAGTAAACTGGTTGAGTCACAGCTAAGAAAAAGCCCCATGAACACAAACTCAAGTATATAGAAGTGGATTCACAGAAAAACAATCTAAGGTTGATGGACTGTTTATGTTCCACCAGTGTAAAAAAATATGCAACATATGTATTTACAATGAGTCAAAGCAAGTAGTGTCTTGGTGTTTATAGGCTACTAGAAGAACATTATTTTGTTACACATTACAGATGGAAATTAAAAGCACAAAGCTGGCGGATGGTTGATATGATGAGGAGATAAAAAGGGGAAACAGACAGTAAGTTATAAAAAGACACTGGTGCAAGCTATCAAYGGCTGTGGCCAGACGTTAATGGAAACACTCAAACTGCAGAGAAAGATTAAGAGCCTTTTGAAGAATAAACACTCCAAAACTAAAGTAGGATGGGGGTTTCTCTGTTGTCTAATCTGAAGTTTTGTAAAAGAGACTAAAAAAAACACAAAAAAATGGGAACAAACCTGTTGGTTATGGAAGTGAAAATGAAGAGTGTCTGGACCATTTATGTGTAATTCAAGTGAGCATTTGATTGTATACCTAAACTTSTCAAACTATGAAGTGTACTAAAAATTGGGCTACCAGTACCATGGACTTCTTAAGACCAGGTTTAAGACTTTCCTTTTTGATTCATCCTATAGTTACGGTTGGCTGGGTTTCCTGAGCTTTCTTTTAGTTATGCTGCAATAGATGTGGCCTCTGCATGGTCCATCCAAACCTGCAAAATATGATCTCARTCATGTAGTTGTTTGACCAAAATACTGCATCATTACTCATTCTAATACGCTCCTTCTTGTCTCAATGCCTGGGCCGGTTATTCCAGCAGAAATATCATTCTGCCCACAGTGCTAAGTGTGTTTGTGTTGCTAACAGCTGTAGATATGCATGTAAATACACATGGATTGTAAAACTGACAATAACGTAAGGGTGTTTAAAACACTGTTTGCACTTAACTGCTATGAAAAGTTTTAAAAGGGCAGTAATACAATTTGATCCTAGCCTTGCTCAAATTAGCTGTTAGCTCACTAATCCAGCTAGGATTAAACTCTTCTCCCAAACTGAGCTTGTTCAATGAGCTATCTATTACAGGTAAGACATTAATTGTGCATAACCTTTTCTCAAAAGAGCTTAAATATTGCTTAGAGAATATTTTCAAAAATGATAAATGTTGCATTTATAAACAGTGGCCATATTTTTTTCTCCTTTAGAAGCAAAAAAATGATTGTTCGTGTGATCAATTTTGAAAAAAGCTGACGAAAAAACTTGAATCTTGTCTGCCAATCTGGGTAAGTTGTTCCAAAGTTTTATAGAAACACAGAACAGGCTTATGCACAAACGTTTTGGAGCAAATCTGCTATAATTTTTTTAACTTGTTTCTTCACAGCCCGAAGTTTCATTTATTTGTCAAAAACTGCAATTTCTCATCTGCAACACACACTTCGTCACCACGCCAGTAAAAGTCATGGCTTGCCAATTCTCAAAAACACGTTTAATACCTCATGTGTGCAGCGCAGCCGCYGTGCAGTTCTAACTCCAGGTTCGGCGTGAGCAACCACACCAGATAAGACAGAAGGTGTGCAGTACAACGGAGTGAAACCATACGAACAAAAGCATTTTCATTTTGTCACGGCCGGCTTCTTCAAAGAGGCAGAGTGGAGGAAACTCAGACAGATAGGAACTGAAATAACACTAAACYCTGATCACTCTTTGTCTGTGGTTCTGTCTCAAGTCATTCTCACACCCACWTATGCTGCTTGCTCAAAACCCAGATTTAAAAAAACTAACAGGGCCATTTGTCCACTTATTGCAAAGAGTGACAAATTACATTTTGCACATCCAATTTTCAAGCTCTCTAACCAATCTGAGCACTTATTATTACTGCTGTCTGCCAGTTCAGATAAGAAACAGTCATTGTGTTGAACTGTAATGTCATCATTTAGTGAAAGGAAAATAAACTCAATGTATTTATGGTAAATATCCTCCTGCAGTAGTGAAGTGAATGCATGAGAAGTCCTCACAAATAGTTTTCAGGCTGCTAATTTACTCACATAAGTGTTTCCAGACCTTGCTACAAGAACTTGTGGCAGAACAGAATGAAGAGGGCATTTAGAGAATTATTAAGGGGGGCGGGGTGACAGTTTGTCTTTAAATGACTTGAATTATTTAGATTTTAATAGTACATATAACTCAAATAGGTTTTCTTTATCTGTAATTATGAATTGCCTGTGTGTTTGTTCACCTCACTGTCTGTTAGCAAAATATTTCATGAAACGCCAAACTGGTTTTAATAAAATTCTCAAAAGGTAATTATTAGATGTACATCTTCAGCTGATTAACTTTTGGAGTTGCTCCAATTGAAGATGGCTGCCACAGTTAATCAAAGTCAGTAAAAAGAAAAGTAGCTTTAAGTCAGTCATTTTTACAAAAAAAGAGCTCAAATCTGCTGTAGTAGTAACTAAGTGTCATCCCAAAGCTGTAGTCTGATCATTAACGTGTCCAATTAAATCATTTTTAAATGACTGACATTAATTTTAGAGTTTGCCCTGTCTGTCTGTTAGCAAAATATCTTATGAACAAGCGGATATATTAAAATGAAACTCGTTTAAAGTGATTATTGTGTGTACATCAATGGATTAATATTTTGACCTAATCAATTTAATGCTGCGTTCCAGTTGTATTGGACCTCGAAATGCTGAAGCCGGATTGACGTCAGTTCCGAGTTGAAAGCATTCCAGGTTCAAACGTCGGAAAAAGTGTTTCTATGTTTTTGCTCGGCAACAATGACACTTGCAACAATAGGGCTCTACGAAGCATTTTGAGTGTACAAACAGTGTTAAAACATACCTTTTAATAATCACTATAAAGCACAACAAGTACGTCTGACTAAACAGCACAGAACTGCCAAAACAAAAATGTAAAAGTAAAGAGTTTCATGCGTGCAGCAGCCATGTTGAAATGACGTAACCCATGCTCAGGATGCTAAGGTTGACCTCTTGACTTAAAACTCTGACTTCAGGGGGTATTCCAATTGAAAAATACACCTCGGAAGCTCAAAACTATGACCCCCTAGGACAACTGGAACGCATCATAAGATGGCTGCCACATCTGATCGAGCAAAGGCCAACACCAATAGGCCATAACTCAGGTTATTTTGAGCTAACATTTGATGTGGTAGTAGCTGAGAGCTACACATACTTTAGATGTTAACTAACTAATGTATTTGAGCCTAAATTTATAATCAAGATTTGACAATAGCGACAATAACAGATCATTGTTCAAGATGAGAAGATGTCCGTTTTAAACTCAGGCATGACTGCAGGTGACATGCATTCCTTCAAAGGAATCTCTAAAGTTCTCTATTCTCAAAATATACCTGACGGGAAGGTAACGTTCGTTTCACGGAGCACAATAAAACACTTGTTCTTGGAGATTAAAAACTGCAGTTGCAGGAAGATTTTGAAACGCAACTCTGAAAATCTGAAAGTGCTGCATCAGAAGAAAAAGGTCCTGTTCAAACCACAATGTCACTTCACAAACTGCTGAAGGTCATTCTCACAGAGATGACTAAAAGAGAGACCTCTCACAAATTCACATAGGTAGATGCTGACGTTTGAAGATACCGGTGGTTACAACACAGAGGTACTGACATATTGTCCTAAAAAAATGTTTCTGATTAGTCACTTCCTGTTGGTGAGAAATGGACTTTTTATATTTTATTCTACGTTGGATGATGGATAAACTGTCCAGTAAAAAAAAAGAATGTTAAGTTGATCAAGAGCAACTTTATTCATAATTTTACTCATTTGTTTAATATGTTTTGCGTCGTATATTTCACTGCATCATTACTAAAACACAGACTGTCTTGATCTTGAGTAAATAAATATTAGGCTAAATAATCATCTATGTCAAAAATGAGTAAAGCTTGTGGATTTTGCATGAATCAATTGCTTTTAGTTTAGTTTTCAGCTCTTTAATAAGAATTTTGCCTCAATTCTCCAAACTGAGACCTCTCAGACTCCTGTCTACAACTGGGAAGATATTAACTTTTCCTACAGTGACCTATGTTTTAATGTAGACTACATTTGAAGGTAATTGCATTCACTTAGGTGGTCCCCTTTTTATTTAGCGCATCAAAATAATCATTGACTGAGGCAAACTTTACTTACGTGGCATCATCTGTTCTCCCCTGGTTCTTCTCTGCTGTAACTTCAGCTGCAAAACTGAAAAAAGGAAACGCAAAAAGGAGACGGCTCAAAAKGCTGTGCATGAATGAAAATCTTCTCAAAGCTGGCAAAGGATCGTCAGATCTCAGCCGCATAAAAACAAAGTTCAGACTTTACTCGCATGTATTTGTCTGTACTTTGGTGTTTTCGTCTGTATAAGTACAGATTTAAAAAAGAAATAAAACTACAGAAGCAGTAAATCTTACATTAGAGCTCTGTAGAGAGGTTTTTCTCTCTACCCTGGGAGCTGCAGTTGAAACTTGTGGTTGTCTTTGGCACCAGGGTTGTGACACACAAAACAAAAGGAAGTCAATCACACAGAATGAGCACACACACGAGCAGCTTCCTGTTTCGAGTTTTTATATTAAACAGCAGCACAAGAATAAATGACTTCTGAGCTTCAGGGGGAAGTGAGGAAAAAAGTGCAAATATCACAGTTCAATAAAGTAAGAGGCACTGTGTGTGTGTGTGTGTGTGTGTGTGTGTGTGTGTGTG